CTGGTTTGGTCATGGCATGAGCCATGCACTTGTTCCCTGACTGAAGAACTCCTTACATTATCTATGAGACATCCATTCCTCGCGAACCGGGAGCAGTGAATATCGACAGTATCGCATGCCCCGTCGTCCGTCAGCCCGAAGTCCCTAGGTTAATCAATGCAGCGTCGGCTTCTTTAAAGTAAATCCTTGCTTTACATAAGGCTCTTAACTAATTTTAGATTAATCTATATTTAGCTAATCTATCTTTAGTATATTTTTTTACTAAATATAAATTTAACTTATACTTTTAAGTTATACTTAGTAGCTAAAGTATTCTTAACATTAGTTTATAAAATAAGTTTAAAAGCTAGAACTTTAAGAAAGTAGTCTCTAATAAGAGTAATAGTAGTAGTAATTTTAATATTATTAGAGTAGTTATAATTACTATAAATAGTAAAAATTTATTATTATTACTTAAGAGTAATAGTAAGAGCTTTTTTATATATTTAATAATAGTATCTTTAAAAGTTTATAATATAAAAATAAATATCTTTTTACTATAAAAGAAGAGTTTAAATACTAAGTACTTTATAAAAGTTATAAATAGTAAGTTACTATATATATTAGTACTATTTCTTTATACTAAATTATACTTACTTTAGTAGTAGGTATAGTAGCTAGTATTATAATTATTATTTTTTTAAAAATTTAAAGTAATTATAGTATTAGTAGCTAAGTTAAAAAAAGCTAGTAGATTTTTTTTAGAATTAGCTACTACTTAATATAGGCCTACTAATAAGTAGAGTAGCTAATAAAATAGCTAGAAATTAGGCTTTAAACGTTAATGTAAGAAAAGGCTAGTTAAGAGCTACTACAGCTAATCCCTCGCACTAGTTAATTAGCTCGCCCAGGCGTTTGGGCACCGGAGGACGCTGCAGTCTGGCAATGAGCAGCTAAACGTCAAGGCACAGAGTGCCGCCCCCTTTCCATTCCAGTTAATCTCGACCACCGCATCTGACATTTGGCGAGCGCATGTGAGAAAATGCACGTCAACATGATCTTGCAGTGCGTCGCCGATAAGGTTTGCCCACTCACCAGTAGCCAAAGCAACCCCAAGCTTCAACCCCGTCCCCCATTGCCCACCAACCCGTACGCCTTGCAACCACATCCTCACATGCGCAATCGCCTGCCCAACCCCACATGCTCCACAAAGCGGCAGCACGACAGAACCTTTCATCCAACGTCCGAGCGCCTGCATGAAAATGCATGCTCACCACGTGGTCGCAACGTGGTTTCCGTGGACGCACGGCCCGCCGCTGTCTGACAATTGCGGGTTCCTGGCACATGGCATCGCGGTGGAGCCAGCGCAAAGGTCGGGCTGCATCGGAGCACCATCCTGGTGGTGAAACCGCTGAGCTATGCATCTCACTGCACGTTGTCGCGCGCATGATCTAGTGCGTAAGCTGTGGCTATATCTGAGGCTCACGATGGAGGAGGCGAGCACTGCATGGTATGTATGCCTGGATGGGCTGGAATGTGGCGTTTGAGGGTCTGGGTGGGAGAAAAAGCATACCTGATGGCTTGCGGGTTCGCTTGCCGAAAAGTCTAGACTGCGATGCGGGACAGTCTTCATCAACACCGTCTCTAGAGACAAAACATCTCCGAGGATATGGCAAAAGTGACGGAAAAACGCGACTCAGAAACGACTGAATTTGTGTAGATACGAAGTCCGCAGATGAAGTAGATCACAATTTGGTATCGCCGAAAGTACGAGACTTGACTCGTGCTTCTCCTTACCGCTCATCTACATCGCCATACCGGGCATATGGTCAAGCCCTGATAAGGGTTGTCAGTATGAAAACGTCACAGTGTGACTGAAAGAACAACTTACAGCCATCGATATTCTCCTTGATAGCGCTCTTGACTTGGCATTGGTTCATGGCCTGAACATTCTGACTCTACAACTCCTTGTTAGCAGCCGCACCATGCTTCAAGAACCCACACTGCACCACATACCTTCAAAGGTCTTCCATTCTCGCAAGCTTGGAACATGCAGTTGTTGTCCATCGCCTTCTGTAGACTGTCGTCTTTCCAACCAAAGAGGTAGTCCGCATGGGTACCATAGCCCTTGTTGTCATTGTAAGAGAGGAAGAAAGGGTTGGAGCCGTCCTTAGGCCACATGTTGCTAAATTGCGTAGTATCCCAGAGTGTCTCATAGGCAACCTGTGGCATGCGGACTGGGTGCGAAGACGGACATGCGCCAGCGACAGCGAAGGCTTCCTTGGCTGTATTGTACATGTGATCTTGGTGGTTGGGTGAGTCGACGTTCTTGCCGTCCCAGCAGCTGATACACATGTCAGTACCCTCTCAGATGAGTCTGCTACAAGGCAACGACTTACGATGGGAAGTGATGCACAGTCATGATGCCACCTTTGCAGGCCTTGGGCGGGAAGTCTGGGCTCTCTGGGAAGCGAGTGTTCTTGTCTTGCAGACACACAAAGCGAAGACCTGGGTGCTTCTTCGCGTCTTCTACTGTGTTGGTTGTAGGTGAACCTACAGTCATTCGGAAGCCCTGAGTTGATTAGTAGTGTGTTACATGCGTCGCAGTATGACTGACCTTGGGAAACGCGGTAATCTTCTGGTTACCATTCCCGTTGAAGTCTTGCTGTGTGTAGTAGATGGCTGCGATGAGGTAAATACCCAATCAGTGTATGCCACTTCCGTCTAGTACGGTAACACTCACTCATGCCACCGTTGATACCGTTCGGCAAGGCGCTGTTTTGCATGATAGGCACTCGTTTGTACGAGCCGTTGGTGTGTTTGAAGAACATCGCGGCGGTCCAGTAATTGCTATATCTATCAGCTTCAGTTGGAAGACGTGAACAGGCTGCCAAACCTGAAGTCCTCTGAGAACGTGCACGTTGTGCAGGTAGCCAAGGTAGATGGATCTTCCTTCATAGTCGCATTGAATGCATTGCCACCAACAATCTGATGAACATGAGCTGAAGGAAGTTTACCTGGCTCAACGAGCGGGTCAAGCCGTTGGATGCTCAAGGTTGAGCATCCGAAGCGTAGTGCGGCCTGAGCAGGCACTGCGAGAGCGGCGATCTGGTACCACTTCATTGTCGTGTATCTTTGTATGGCGCTTGTGGGTGTATTCTTGCTGGAGGATGCGCGAAGGACCGCCCACGATCTTAAGCTGAAGGATTGTCAATAGCTTCGAGTCTTGGTATCTTGTTGTCAACCCTGCTCCATGGCATCGATGGTGTCTGGTGTGGATATGCTTTATCCGTTGATTAAAGACCTCTGCAAGTGACCAATAACGGCTATGACTTTGAGAAATCCCCGCGTTAATGTTGGAGACCTAGCCACAGTGCTACACCATTACAATCAATTCCAGATTTCGGCACTTGTCTCCCGCGTAAACCTCCGAGAGGCACGGCACTTTTCGTTTGGAACGGACAGGGAGATTGTCGCCATTCGCATTGTAGAGAGAGGTGAGAATCGCGCGCAACGTCGTCAATGAGTGTACGTCTAGATAGACGGAGGAGGAGGTCATGTGTAACAGTATCGCGCGCACCGACACTCGCTCTATCTGAATGCCTTCAATAGCCACTCTAGCTTCCTGTCACGCAGGTTCGCGCGTGACAAGTCATGAAGAGCTGAAGTCGCAGAGGTGCTATACGGCAGATGTCAAACCCGAATCAGTAGCCTTGGTACCTCAGATAGAGACTTGTCCCGTCGATCAGTCGAGCATTGTAGGAGCTTCCATGGGATCATGAGCATCCAGTTTATACGGTTCGTGGCACCCTGCCAAGATCGGTGTCATGACAGCGACACAGTGGAGGCCGTCGAATATCCATGCAAGGAATTGATTGGTAGTGGCTGCCATGGTACGGGTGTCGCGTATAGTGATAACCCAGCGACTTCGTGGCGAGGATTGACGAGCAGTGCAGTAACGCCATTCTGAGAAGCCGTCAAGGGAGATGAGTGACGGGAAGAGCGAGCAGGAAGAACAGCGACGTCATGTGTGCCATGATCGCGGGTAGTATCGGTGCGCTCGAGATTTGATTGTAGCGCAGGCCAAACCAAACCCCGATGACATTGCCTCTCTCGGACCAGAGTCATTACCAGAACCACGCCGCCATGCCCAACCCACAAACCTCAGGCCATGTCCCCACATCTCGCGCGATCCGTCTAGAACACCGGGGCACGCTTGACGTAACCGCAGACGTTGAAAAGGGTGCAGGTGCGCGCGCTACCATGTTCCGAAAGCTTATTGTGTGCCTGACAAGGAGGGGTAAAATTGGGCGAACGACGTTCGCTACAATCCATGGCTTGGCGCTCCCGCCTGCCTATCACGGACAGCGCACGGCGGCTGGTATGGGATACACACCTTATCGCAGTTTTGGGCACGGGGGGACATGAGATGGAAGGGACGTGCGTGGGAGTGAGGTATTATGGTCTGTCGTCACTCTTACGGTCTCTTACGGTCTCTTACGGTAGTCAGACGACTGATGACTGGCAAAGGTGCCTTTTGATCAACCTGCACACATGCTGATCCAGCTGCCAGACACTGGTAGACCTTCTGAAGAGCGAGCGTGGAGCGATGCAGCGCAACGCTATACCTAGGTATACACAGCAGTCAAGAGAATGCGCTTTTCGACACAAGACGAGACTCCACGATGGTTCATGTGTCTCATTTCCAGAAGACAGTACTCACCTTGTCGCTACTACCACTTTCTTCCATGCAACCCAAACACCATTGCTCCAAACATGCGAAGATGATAGAATAACGTCAGAAACACCAGACACCACCTGAACTGTCTCATGAATTCAAGCAAACAAAGTCATGCCTTCATGCTTTATCACAAGATCTTCATCACGCTCATATATATCTCGTTCTTCTGACTATCATCATCAGTAAGTATCACTCCCATCAGTTCCCGTCCGGTCTATAAGAAAAGGCCGCCAGCGCCCTCATCGAAACCCACTATCGCAATCCACTCTCTACCGAGACAATGGCGACTTCATTTAAGCAACAAGTCTCCCATCAAAAGAAGCCAAAAGCATCTACCAATGCCAGCACGCATAAGCTACGTAGCAAGCTGAAGCCTGTATACGAACACAACCATGCCATACAGGAGCCATGCAGTAAGCCTGGAAGAAACGAAGATCCTCTTCCTCACCCCATCGTACCCAAGCAAGACCTTCACCCCACTCAGTCTCCCCGTAACGGCGTTCGCGGAGGCATACTCCCATCCAACCTCAACCACATCAACCATCGCCGTCACATTCACTCCGAAAAAGTCGATAACAGCTACCCCCTCCGAAAAGGCTACAGCGCCGCAGACCCGCGCCGCAAATGGGGAAAGGCCAAGAAGCCCGCTGTCAAACCAGATGTTGTACGTCCATACAAGAAGACTGCCCCTATGCAACTCCAGAAGTGCTTTAGTGTGAGCTATGAATGCTGTCAATGCAACAATGGTACGGTGATCAGGCGAACGGCACACAACCCGGATCGGGCCTACCAGTGTGAAGCTATACGTGCGGTTGGACAATGTGGTCATAGATGGTGTCCGAAGTGTCCTGTTATTCGGGAGGAGTGGGTGGAGGATGTGCTTGAGAAGGGGGACAAGGGTGGGAAGAGGAGCCATGATCGAGGGCCTAGGCCCAAGTACGTGATGCCCGCAGCTACTGAGTGAACTGCTAGGAGGAAGGTGGTTATCAGATCATGTATGATACTCCACAGCAACACGGTGAGGTAAACAGATACTCCATAGAATACATACTCCACAACACCCATTTCCACATTCAAATCTACCCAACGACCCCAGCAAAGTCCACAAGCTCAACAAGCACATTACACACGCCATCAGCCCAAACAGCAAACGCCTTCTCCCTCAGCACACTATACCAATCATCCGCATTGCGAATATCACGCCACCCCTGCGGACCGATAGACTTGATAGCGTAACGGGGAAGAGACCTGGTTTCCGCATGACTGTCGACAGGGAAGATGGCGTGAGTACTCACTGCCGAAGTGGGTGTGGGAAGGATAGCGGCGTTGTCATCTTCGGATGATTGAGGGAGACCGTTGAATGGGGGCGATGGTACGTGTAGAGCGTGCTCCGTTTGCAGTGCATTGGCGGCAGCAGCGAGGCCACGAAGATTGTCTGTGCCGGGTTCAATGTCTCGAGATCCGACACCAACGCTGAGTTCGGGGTATCTGTCCTTGGCGGCTTTGAGGAGGAGGATGACCTCTCTCATGAAGTCGTTGTAGTCATACCATGCCAGGTGTGTTTGTGGTCCGGCTGTGATGCGCTTCTCGTCGAGCTTGATACCAGGTCTGCCGCTCGATGAGGCAAGTACGAGGAAGATGTTGATGTACGAGAGATTGGGGTCGGTAGGACTGGTCGTAGGTACCTGTTTGATGGGTTAGCAGCGTCAATCGTACTAAGAGCATGAAAGAATCAACCCTACCTTCAAATTCGGCCGTGTGGTTGCGTTGGACTCTACCGCTTCTCTGGAATCCGACTTCACATCCTTGCCTCCGAAGGAAAGCTGCGGCGTCACGGTCGTGAGTTGTGTCGATGAAGCTGTGGGCTGTGACGGCGTCGGATGTTGTTCCAAACTGTGATCGAAGACGGGCTGTGGATGCTGCTCGACCCCACGTCCTGCATCATCATCGCCTTGCTGGAGCACAGCTTCGGCACTACCTTCTTTGTCTTTCTTCTTCGCGCCGCCCTTCCTAGTCTCGATCGCATACTGTCGCTGCCGCTCGTTCGTGACCATTCGTCGCATTAACGGAGTAACGAGGCTAATAATTTTGTTCCCGTCCTTCGGCCATGTCAGTCTTTCTCCAGCATCAGGAGTATTGTCTTCTCCTAGTGCGCGTGCAGCTTCAATCGCGTCCTTCTCGCCCGGCTTCTCCACATCTTCGCCAAAGAACTGCTCGCCAACGCCTTCGTTCAGGAAGTCCCGGACGCAGTTGAAGAGCCGCAACTTGACCATGTCGGTATCACCTTTACCACGGTTTCCAACGCAGCTCTGCCGCTCAGGATGTAATGTGTCGAGCATGTAGCCTTTTGCTAAAGCTTGTAGTTGAAGGAAGTTCTCTGGGCTTAGCTGGAGGGACATGAACAGCTTCGACATTGGCGGTCGTGTGTACTTGCGAGACGTTCTTTCGGAGGAGCGGCGGAAGAGAGCGGCGGCTGAGTGTACACCTGCAGCACGGGCATCGTTCAATAGAGACTCACTGGAAGGCGGTACAGTGTCGTCGACAGAGACCCCATGCATATTATGGCCATGGTCCTGAAGCCGAGGATCGGTAGCTCCGCCAGTTTTACGTCGCTTAGAGTTGACAGGCCTATCGGCATGATGCGATGCGTCCTCGGCCGGGGAGCTGGTACCTCTTCTTCTCTTGCCTCTGTCCTGTAGTGGGATGGTTACCGTCCCAGCATCTCCAGTATCCATCGCATATGCCACCTGACCTGCAGCTGTCGCAGCCTCCAGCAACTCAACGAGGTTATGATTCTCCTCCAGTGTGTGATCGTCTGACGTCTGACGGGCAGTGTGTTCGGCGTACAGGTGTGGGCTGAGATGGTGTTGGGGCGGCGATGCGAGGGGAGCGGGAGCAGACAAGTCATATTCATCGTCGTCGGACACGAATGGGGGCGGTGCACCGTTTGTACTGTTGGGCGTGGTGACGAACTGGCCGGGGCGCATCTGGTAGTATGGCGCGTCGACGTTTGCCCGCATCGTGGTTCGTATCCCCCGAGATCAGACGGGCCAGACGGTAGGAGCCAAACAGGGCTGGGAGGGATCGGTCGTATGAGCTGTCAATGCACAGATGGTAAGTCTTTGGATCAAATGTTGAGATGGAGACAGCAACTGAGTTCATGCAACTTGGACTGCGAGTGGAAAACGACTCGATACGTCTACAGGGCGAGCGCGACACCGAATCTCTTTTGTATGCAAGCGCCCACGAGGTTTGGTTTGACACCGAAGCAGCGACATGTTTTGGTTTGAGCGCAAGAGGGCAGCATTTGCGATTCGATGGAGAGGGCAAAGCATGGTTTGACCCGACAAGAGGAGAGGGTGGAGTGCAGTTTGATCCGTCTCGGCGACGTAAGCTGGCATCGAGGTGCGGAGATTAGGATCGTGGTTTGGTTTGACGCGAGATGGTAGGAATCAGATCAGCAGACACACCTGATTGCTGTCGTGTGAGAACGACAAGCGGGCCGGCCAGCGGGCCAAATCAACTCGGGATAGGGTTGAGTTTGCTTTGTTTGCACGATGACGCGCGCGCATGTGACTTGGCTTGAGGCGATTAGATAAGCCATCCTCCCCAACACGCGCACTTGAACATGAACGGAGAGAGGTAACCGAATTTCTTTGCTTGACGGAATAGTAGCATTAAAGAGGTTAAGTGTGATGTGAACGTAGCGTATAGTGTATTCTTCACCTTCTTACAACAGTATCCCACCCCTAGATAGCATGCTAAAACGCCCTTCTAAGACCATAGAAAATCAACGCCATACAGCACGACATGATACGCCGGCCAAAAACCCAGGGTATCAAGAAGAATATCTAAAAACCATCCCCCTCATGCCACTCTCGTCCCAACTCCTCAGCCCTCATCCTCGGATCCTGCCCCCTCACCTCAGCATCATGTTTTAGGCCGTCGACAATGGGTCTCAGCCGATCGATCTCCCGCCTATATTCAGCGTCCTTCCCTACCTCTGGCATTTCCAGATCTTGCAGCTTTGTCTGATCGTTGTCTCGCGTTGCTTCTTCTATCGCCTTTCGCTTCTCCTCCCACTCCCTAAGATCCCTTTCCCGGTCTCCAAGTTCGTTCTTGAGGGCAATGAAATTCGCGTGTTGCTCTTCGCCGCCAAAACAGGAGCCGTATTGGTCGCAGAAACAGATGTGTTCCTTGGGGCAGACGACGTTCTGACCCGTGAAGACGAATTGCCATACGTACTCCCAGATGCGTCCGCTGAGACGGTCTTCCAGACGTGTGTTGAACAGCCAGTCTCTGTACCAGACGTATTGCGCGTAGGGCTTTGCTTGTATGCGTTCTCGTGAGAGGGCGAATTGTGCGCAGCAAGGTTGTGCGAGAACGGTGGGTACTTCGTCGAGGGGGAAGAGCTCGCTCCAGGACTTGGCCAGGAGGACCTCTTCCTGCTTCTGGGGGTCCAGCTCGGTTGCTGCCGGGTGCATCCAATCGGGGCAGCCGGGATGCCAGCTGCACCTCATGTTTACGAAGCCTTGTCTCCAAACGCGGGCTCGGTTGAGTCGGCTTATAAGCAGATGCGCGTTGTTGCCTAGGATCTCGTCGTTGTGCCAGGACAACTGGTGTGCGTGCATGAAGATGGCGACGTCGGGGAGGTTGTCGTAGTTATCAATGATCCATGAGAGATATATCATGACCTCGTGGCCTTTGTTCTTGGGTGGATGTAGCGGTGCGGAGGGGTCGTCGGCTACGTAGACGGCTGTCTGCTGCTCCGGCATCTTGTCTAGGATCCAGTCAACACTCTCATGCTTCGTCTTGGCAATCACCAGTGTCGAGGTATAGTTGTGTTCTGCAGGCATTGGCGAGCCTGGCTTGAATATGGGGGTCGGGTTCCAGTTCGCATAATCTGGGTCTTTGGTCGCATCTTTCGAGGGCTCGACGGTGCCGGTACTCAGAGGTGGCCGCTCATCACTGCCAATGTGGTCTCCTAGACCGACATGTTGTGGTAGACCCCGCCATGCCTGGCTGGAGTCTATGCCAGAATAGAAGAATGCGACTACGAATAGTGTGAGGATTAGCGCGAGGACTGGAATGACGTTTCGTCGGGTCATCCTGCGTGAGTTGAGAGCGAACGACTGGCAGGGGGCGAAAGGCGTAAATCGCCAAGGTCAGCGTGAGGTCCGGATGGTCTTATACTGTCGCACTGTTAGCCGGGCATATTTGGGATCGGACTTGTCAAGCTCACGGTGCTGGTGGAGTCGCCGCGCGGCAGCTGGGGTTGGTCGAAGGAAAGCTCCGCAGTGACGAACGTGGAACGACGAATGAATGACATAGGCCACCGGAGCGCGTATGAGCAAAGAGGCGTGGCATCGCGAAAAGACCAGATATACAAGACCATGGACTTTGACGCTACACCCAAGTCACAGCGCACAAGACACAGGCGTTGCACCTGTGGCCCGCTACGGACGCCGCAGCGATGGCGACGGATGACTTTGGGCTGAGGTTCGGTCGTGCTAGAAGCCAGAGACGGCCCGCTACCTGCTGCAGGCTGCATCCAACCCTGCATCGGCCTTTCAGTCGGGGCACCCCGCGGCTCCACGCCTGCCGTGGATCTCCAAGAACAGCTTAATTCTTTAGCCAGGCACAAGCGTCGAAGTGTATCTCACTTTGGCATTCTGCATGATCAAAGATGGACTTGGCATGATTGGCATTCTACATGGCTCTACGGAAACTGCAAATGTTGCAGGGGCTGAGGAGAATTAGCCGCGCATTAGGTTTGACGATGGCTATCTGATTCATCAGGCGACTGTGGACGCCTCAAAGTCCTATAGTGGTGATAACATGTGTGCGACAGAGATGACTAAACCCCTTTGGTCGCGGGAGCATGAAGTGTGATGTTGCGGCGTAGCCGTTGCGCAACGCCTTGCACCGTGTGCTCATTGCGTCACACACATCTACAAGTTGGTG